TGTTATCACTGTAGAGAAGTAGATAATGATGTACATTCATTGTTATCACTGTAGAGAAGTCGATAATGATGTACATTCATTGTTATCACTGTAGAGAAGTAGATAATGATGTACATTCATTGTTATCACTGTAGAGAAGTCGATAATGATGTACATTCATTGTTATCACTATACAGTGAAGTAGATAATGATGTACATTCATTGTTATCAGTGTAGAGAAGTAGATAATGATGTACATTCATTGTTATCACTGTAAAGAAGTAGATAATGATATGCATTCATTGTTATCACAATACAGTGAAGTAGATAATGATGTACATTCATTGTTATCACTATACAGAGAAGTAGATAATGATGTACATTCATTGTTATCACTATCCAGTGAAGTAGATAATGATGTACATTCATTGTTATCACTATACAGTGAAGTACATAATGATGTACATTCATTGTTATCACTACAGAGAAGCTGATAATCTTTCCACTATTACCACCACTTACCCTAGCATTAGTTGTTAGCATATTCGCATCAGTCATAATGCTGACTTCGTTCAAAAGAGCATGTACTACGCAATACACGAATAGCTTATAATTTGTCCACAAATTGTAATTATTTGTAATATGGAGTAACGTTTCTGTGATTTGTTATTATTTGTCATATGTATTAACGTTCCTGTGATTTGTTATTATTTGTCATATGCAAAAATTGAGTAATGTTTCTGTGATTTGTTATTATTTGTCATATGCAAAAATGGAGTAACGTTTCTGCGATTTGTTATTATTTGTAATATGTAGTAACGTTTTTGTGATTTGTTATTATTTGTCATATGCAAAAATGGAGTAACGTTTCTGCGATTTATTATTATTTGTCATATGCAAAAATGGAGTAACGTTTCTGCGATTTGTTATTATTTGTAATATGTATTAACGGTTTCTGTGATTTGTTATTATTTGTCATATGCAAAAATGGAGTAACGTTTCTGTGATTTGTTATTATTTGTCATATGCAAAAATGGAGTAACGTTTCTGTGATTTGTTATTATTTGTCATATGCAAAAATGGAGTAATATTTCTGTGATTTGTTGTTATTTGTCATATGCAAAAATGAAGTAACGTTTCTGTGATATTTTTTTTTCAAATAGATCCTTTCGAGCTCGACGCTGTTCTCGGCACTGTTAACGTTACTCGACAGTTGGATATTTCCCAAGCTCAAGAATACACTCTCCATATAGAGGCTTCAGATGGACTCTGGAAAGGAACGGCAAGTATCCATGTTCGTTTTATTATAGATGAAATAAATAAAGAAAGCTAGTATATACAATACAACCAGATAGTGAAACAGACAGAAGCTTAAGGCATAAGTAGCTGAACGAATCAAAGTAAACGCTTGAGCCGCCCACTCTTAATCGATCCAAATGAAGCGTTTCTTCACAAGACGTTATTACTAACTATTAGCGAAGTTACTTGAATTTTGGATTTTTTTTCTCTACAATTTGAACAGCACGCTAATTAGATCTAGCTCTAGGTCATCAACACTGGATTATCTAAATATAATTCACTCATTCATTACGTGGTTGGTTTACAGTGAAGCTGGCACGCTTCCGAGTAGCCGTATCAACCACCATCTCACAGATTGTGTGAAGTTTCATTAAATTTTGATAGTCAAATATTCCTAAATGAACCGAGTCTCAAGAAACTCGTATTATATGAACAAAATCACGAGTTTTTATAACTAGATGAATGAGAGCTGAAGTAAAAGTTCAAATTAACCAAAAACACTACTGCTACTACCAGACATAAAACACGGGGTTCGGATCCCCGTCACACCAAACATGCTCGCCCTTTCAGTCGTGGGGGCGTTATAATGTGACGGTCAATCCCACTATTCGTTGGTAAAAGGAGTAGCCCAAGAGTTGGCGGTGGGTGGTGATGACTAGCTCCCTTCCCTCTAGTCTTTCGCTGCTAAATTAGGGATGGCTAGTGCAGATAGCCCTCGTGTAGCTTTGCGCGAAATTACAAGCAAACAAACAATCAAAACTGGAAAGTCGGTGAAAAGAATGAAGCCACCCTGAAGATGTATGATGGAACAAGCTGGCTGGTTAAGTAGATTAAAAGTTGAACAGATAATAAAGGGTGGACGGGTTGCTTAATGGATGTTTCAGTCATTAGGATATTTTCTCAAACAGGTTCGTCAGTTGGTATCAGTTGTTTTCTTTCAAATGACGTCTCATAATATTTTACATCATTTTTCTCTTGCACTGTAGGCTGTTCTGAAAGTAATTGTTAGTCCAGCTGAAGATCGAGATCCTAGATTTAATAAACACCATTATAACTTTTCCGTGTTGGAGAACGCGGCTGGAGCCCTGGTCGGTCAAGTGGAACTGAAGCCCAGGACACATCGTTTAAACACAGAAACCGTTTACAGCATCATCAGCTCTGATACGAAAGAGTTATTTAGCATCACCAAGGTTAGTTCATGGTAGATATGAAAGAGTTATTTAGCATCACCAAGGTATGTTCATGGTAGATATGAAAGAGTTATTTAGCATAACCAAAGTTAGTTCATGTAGATATGAAAGAGTTATTTAGCATCACCAAGGTTAGTTCATGGTAGATATGAAAGAGTTATTTAGCATCACCAAGGTTAGTTCATGGTAGATGTGAAAGAGTTATTTAGCATCACCAAGGTTAGTTCATGGTAGATATGTTGTTGTTGTTGTTGTGTCTAGAGGAAAACAAAAAAACGGTGAGAAATGATCATAGTGTATTGGGTTCTGTAACCAAGCTGGGATAACTTCTGATTTGTTGTTCTGTAGTTTCAGTCTCACTACGTTATTTTTAATTTTCTTTCTACCACTTATTTTATTCTCTGTTTCACCAAATTAAAACTTTGGAACATTTCATTATATTTATTGTTTGAAACCAACTTAAACTATATCAAACATTATTCGACATCACCAAAAAATACTAGACCACACCAGGTAAGATTTAAACCACATCAACTAATACTGGACTACACAAAACATTATTTAACCTAAAACAGACCATGTTAAACAATACTGAATCTCATCAGACAAAACAAACTACATTAAACAGTACTAGACCTCAAACAATACTGGACCACACCAAACAATATGGGATCTCACCAGATAAATCAGACCACATCAAACAATACCAGGTCTCAAACATTACAGGACCACAACAAACAATACTGGATTTCACTAGATCAATCAGACCACATCAAACAATACCAGGTCTCAAGCATTACAGGACCATAACAAACAATACTGGATATCACCAGACAAAACAGACCACATCAAACAATACCAGGTCTCAAACATTACAGGACCACAACAAACAATACTGGATTTCACTAGATCAATCAGACCACATCAAACAATACCAGGTCTCAAGCATTACAGGACCATAACAAACAATACTGGATTTCACTAGATCAATCAGACCACATCAAACAATACCAGGTCTCAAAAATTACAGGACCACAACAAACAATACTGGAGCTCACCAGACCAATTAGACCACATCAAACAATACCAGGTCTCAAGCATTACAGGATCTCACCGGACAAATCAGACCACATCAAACAATACTAGATCTCACCAGATAAATCAGACCACATAAAACAATACTGGATCTCACCAGACAGATCAGACCACATCAAACAATTCTAGATCTCACCAGATAAATCAGACCACATAAAACAATACCATGCCCCAAACAATACTAGATCTCACCAGACAAATCAGACCACATCAAACAATACTAGATCTCACCAGATAAATCAGACCACATAAAACAGTACCATGCCCCAAACAATACTGGATCTCACCAGACAGATCAGACTACACCAAACAATTCTAGATCTCACCAGATGAATCAGACCACATCAAACAAAACTAAAACAGAGTAATATACGGTTGTCGTTTTAGGATATCGAAAGGATTAAAAACGTTTATATACAATTCCCCTTTGAGGTTTGAAGTACTGCTAATATCGTTTCAAGTCTGAAGTTCCGTCGTCGAGACCACGGTATAAGAAACTGCTGGAAAAATACACCGTTGTTTTCAAACAAATTGTTAAAAAAGTATTAAACATATTTGAATTGTATAAGTAGGTTTAATGAGTGTATAACTAACTACAACCTTTTCTGATAATTGTTTGTAGGGTGGGCAAATCTTTACCAAGATTGGTTTGGACAGAGAAAAACGTAGCAGGCATACCTTTACAGTGATGTTGGAAGAGCGCAGGCCGTCAACTAAAGTAGTAAGTGCTATCCATGCCAAAATGGCTGAATTTATGTGAAATTTATAGCTAGCTTCTTTAGACGTCGGATTTGGTTATATAGTCTTGTTTTATCCGTAAACAAAACTTTGTTTTCGTGTTATAAATTCTTCCTTTATTTTAATCCAGTCTTATTTGTTTGTTTCATCAATTTTTGCTAACATTTAATACCTAGTTTCCGCATTACCCTCGCCGCCTGAGGGTCCGTGTCTGTCTGTCTGTGTTCCCGCACGCGTATCTCGAAAACTAATGAACCTATGTACACGAAAGTTTTGTATATGATGGGAAGTCAGTGTGGTACAGTCCTCCCCGAATTTGGTTCAGATCCAAATCCGGATCCGGATTCTGGATCACTTTGAATCATTTTTTTGTATTATAATGTCAAGAGGTATGGCATTTTCGCGGTTTGGGGTTAATAATTATATAAAGTGCTATCGGATTTGTACCAAATTTCTTGAGCACGTTAAGATTGAGACTTCTCATCACACTACAAAAAATGATCTGGATCGTTGATCATTCTGGATCTGAGAAAGATTTTCTGAGTTTTCGAAGGTGAAATTTGACGTTATCTAATATAAACGCATGCAACCTCGAAAAGGAGGGGCGGGGGGGGGGGCGAGGGGTATGTAATCTCTCTGATTGCTCTTGTTTTCTGTTGTAAACTCTTTCAAAGACTGTAAAACATATTTAGATTATTTGTTTGTCTTTCACACACTGTCTAGAAGGGTCCACATGGACTCCATCGACTTTTTAACAATATTTTCTCAATTTATTATGCTCCAAAAAAGATTGTGAGTCATTTTTATTGTAGGGTCCCTAACAACATACGATTCATAGACATAAAAAATGTAAACACAAATATTATCAATACTGCAGTTAATCTATTTAACTACTGCTAAGGTCTGTTTTGTTCTTTACATAGAAAATGAGTGATTGCGTCCAATTTCTGTGGTCATTTCTTTACTAAACCTTGTAATAGGCAAAATAATGCAATATGTGAACTCACCGGTAGCTAAAGGTGTGAAAACAGTAACTTGAGGGTTAAGTATGTACGAAATTTATCCCGTATTATAACCTTTAACTGCGTGACTGAACAATTTTCTGT